ATTGCACTCCAAAATGTTCATAATTTGTTTCGAAATAATAATATGCAACCATTCAAGCTAATCACAAATATCTATATTTTTTTAGATGTGATTGGTGGAGTACTCACTCAAAATATTGTGCGTGTATCGTTTATGTGTCAACGGCGATCGGCTAAGTTGCAATAGGCGTAGATAGCGTTTGCGATTTGGAGGGGGGCTTAGCCCTTAAAGCCCCCTCCATATTTGCGCACATGCTTAATATTAAGCAGTGAATAAAAAAAAGAACTTGTCAGTTTGGCTATGTTAGATAAAAGTTAAATTAAAGTCTAACCTATGTATCCGTGTGAATTTTTCAGCGGGTGTTAAAAAAATAAAAGTATATCAACTATCTCGCAGGCAGGAACAATAATTGGCCGCTGGAGCACAAAAATCAAAAAGCGCACGTTCATAAAAAATACGAAAAATAAACATAGCAGCTTTGTCGGAGAACGGCCCTCGACCCCAGCAATCACGTCGTCGTCTGTTGCTCATTTGGCGTCACTGTCTCACTGGTGAACCACCGACCGACATTATCAGTGAATCTCTTATCTACCCGATTCGCAATATTATTGTTGTAGTCGAAACTTTTGCGCTGAAATTCTGTTTAGTGTTTCAGACATCGTCGTCTCGTCTATCCGTGAAATGTCACTGTTATCGAATCGTTTCAGACACTGAACACCACCAACATTGTAAACAGTTTTCGAAAATGAAACGGACCGGACGTCGGGTCGTACGCCAAGTGTGATGCGCTTAAGACTCGCGGTCGATGTGGCTGTGAACTGCAAAACGCGACTTTTGACGACAAAATGGCATTGACCATCCAAGCGCTGATCCCGCTTTTAATCTGCTTACTGTACGTGGATTCACAGGATCTCAATCACCCTAAGGTGTGTATCCGWTTACTGCGTTACGACCGGATATTGTGTAAAGCGTTTAATATTTTGTTTTAGGATGACAAGAGTTTGGCCAAAGTTAATGCTGTGCAATACGAAGGAATCATATTTTTGTCCACGCTCGATGGCTCATTCATCGCGGTTGACCAAAGGTCTGGAAAAACTTTGTGGAAATTTCGCGATGGTACATAAGATAGATTCACACTTGTTTATTCATAGATTAATATATCATTAAATTTTAATTTTGTTGTTAGATCCACCAGTCAAAGTTCCATCCAATATAAAAGATGCCCTCACGTATGTATTTAATTTTTGTTTTACTTATTGTCATATTAATTTTAATACAAACATTATAAAACAAWGAGTTAATATTTGTTACAGGCCATTATTCTTGCCAGATCCCAGGGATGGTTCGCTTTATTTACTACATAATAAGGATAAAGTAGGAATCAAAAAGTTGGATGTTACTATCCCTCAGTTAGTTGCTAACTCACCATGTAGAAGTTCAGACGGAATATTATTTTCTGGTAAATATCCCTATATTTAAATATGATTTATATAATTAATTAAGGAACTCTTATAACTATTGAGTATTTCTTGAAGGCAAAAAAATTGATAGTTGGTACTTTATTGATTGGAATACTGGTGAAAAACACGCATACATGAATTTTGACAAACAAGGCAAAATATGCACAGCAATTGCTTCAAAATCTATATTATTGAGTAAATCTGGTATGTACCTATTATTATTGTTTAATTAATTTAATTAAGTTAATTTTAATTTTTTTAATAGAATACAGCGTTATGATGGTTGACAGTTTAAGTAGTGATCAACGTCAATGGAATGTAACATTTTTCAGTTACAACTCTAAAACTATGACCGATGAACAGAATTTTAATCACGGTATTTACTATGTAGTATTAAACATTTATTTGTTAATTATTAAATAATCCTCTAATTATATGTATTAAATAAATATTATTTTATTAGGTGTGAAATATTTTGCTGCTAGTTCAACTGGCAATTTTGCAGTTTTTCTCAATCCAAAAGATAAGTTAGAAAAATCTTCTATTAATTATCATAATTTACTATGGGAAAGAGAATTTGATTCACCTGTTATTGGAGTTTATCAGCATGATGGCGAGAGCCTACTGTCGTTACCATTAACAAACATAGCTAAAGACTCCATAAAACATTTGATTTCAAACATTGCATTATCATCAAAAGATCCAAATTCAGTTAGTTATTTGTAAGTAAACTATAAATTATTTAATTTAAAAATACCTATGCTTTTCTTGTTAAAATTTATAAATAGTTATATTTCATTTATCACAAATTATTTACTAGTTATTTTTATTAATGATTTTAAATGTTGACAGTATAGTAAAATATTTTAAATATCTGATTTATAGCCATACACTGTACATTGGTCATCACATGAATACAGGATTATATGCTTTACCAGCCATTGCAGACACTGATGAAGTTAATCCRTTAGTAGATAGAGGATTAATTGTTCTTTTGGACAAGACTTCTTTTTCAGTATTGCCATATTATAGTGGTAATGAGTATAATGTAGAACCTAAAAATGTTGAAAACCACACAATCTTACTGGGTAATGCAAATAAATAATTATTGTTTTACCAAATGTTTCTACAACATAAATCATCTTTTTATAGGACACTACCAGCTGAATCAAGAATTAAATACAGGTATACCGAGAATAACTGGCAACACCGATTCAATAATTTACTATCACAATATGAGTGGATATAACTACAGCAATAAACAAACAAGCACAATATCTACTCAGACTCCTCAATCTTTGGATTCATGGCTTATTATCCAAATACTTGGAGACAATGCTGGAATTAAATTATTTATGGTTGGAATAACACTGTTGATGAGTTTAATGTTTTGGTATCTACGTAAAGAAGTAAGACAATTATTTCTGATCCCAATTTCATATGATTTGTTAAAACATTTAAACTTACTTTTAGATGAAAGGTTTGAAGAATAAATCAAATAACAGTCATAACAGTTCTCAAGGAAGTTCAAGAGGTTCTAATCATTCCAGTTATAGTTCATCTCAAATAGTTGAAGAATTACCTGATGGTAGTTTTTGTATTGGAAAAATTATATTCCGTACAGATGAAGTTTTAGGAAAAGGATGTGAAGGAACATCAGTATTTAAGTAATTATTTTACTTATATTTAATATTGAATTGTAATTTTTAACATGAATTAATATTCTTGTAGAGGGGAGTTTGAAAGTAGGCCTGTAGCTGTTAAGCGATTGTTGCCAGAGTGCTTTATCGCTGGAGAAAGAGAAGTGCATATTCTCCGAGAATCTGATTATCATCCTAATGTTGTTCGTTATTATTGTACAGAACAAGATAAACAATTTCGATATATTGCACTTGAATTATGTGCTGCAACTTTACAGGTAAGTTAATAAATAACTAAGTTTTTTTTATATAGTTTTTAAAAATGTTAAATGGTTTTTTTAGGACTATGTAGAAAAAAATGAACTRAGAAATGAAATAAGTCCAAAAGAAATTTTATCTCAATCAATTAAAGGTCTGCAGCACCTTCATTCACTTGGAATAGGTAATGTTTATAATTACCATAATMAAGTTACTATTATATTATTTTGATATTCAATATTAATCAATACAATAAAATAGTCCACAGGGACATAAAACCACACAATGTATTATTGTCAATACCTATGCGTGGAAATGGCAGTTTTAGTGGCGTTCGAGCACTAATTAGTGATTTTGGGTTATGCAAAAAATTACAGGGTGGAAAAATGTCCTTTTCAAAACGTTCAGGCGTCACCGGAACTGATGGTTGGATAGCACCTGAAATGTTTGTTACCAATGCATCTGTGGTAAGGATATTTCACTTGGGTATCTAATTGTATTATATTATAAAAATGTATTATTATTTTTCAAAGACTAAATCTATTGACATTTTTTCAATGGGCTGTCTGTTTTACTACATCCTCAGTCATGGAAAACATCCATTTGGTGATTCATTGTGGCGTCAAGCTAGAATATTGGATAAACGTCAAGCTCCTTGGTAAAAAGTTAAATTTTTTCTAGTAAATTATGTAATACAAAATAACATAAAATTTTGTAAAATAGTCTCGATGCATTAAATGAAAGTGAAATTTGGAAACGTTTGATATCTCTGATGATAAGTCGAAACCCAGAAGATAGGCCCACTGCTACAGCTGTTCGTTATTATCCAGCATTCTGGGACAGCTCTACATTGCTATCCTTTCTACAGGTGTTTATTTATTTCAAATCTAAATGCATGATAGGGAATTTTATGAATGTAATTTTTTAGGATGTTAGCGATCGTGTGGAAAAGGAACATTCAATGAGCCCTGTAATGCTAGAACTTGAGAAAGGAGGTGATGGAGTTATTGGGCAAGATGGGTGGCATGATAAAATTGATGAAGAAATAACTTCAGAATTAAGGAAATACCGAACGTATAGAACTGGAAGCATAAGAGATTTGTTAAGAGCATTTCGAAACAAAGTTAGTCATATTGAGTAATGATTAAATAAAGTATAAGGATATTTTTTTTTATTTTACCTACTATTTATTTATTTTATGTTTTAGAAACATCATTTTCGAGAATTATCTTTAGATACTCAGAAGCTATTTGGTGATATTCCTGATACATTTTTAGAATATTGGACTACCAAATTTCCACTGTTGGTGTATCATACATGGACAGCAATGCAATGTTTATCAAATGAAATCACATTTGTTAAATACTATACTAGCTGTTATAAATTTCCACGTACAGAATTTTCTAATTTGCCTAATTGGCTACATGAAAATGACCAGCCCATCGCATTTAGCAGCTTACAAAAAGCTCCTAGACGTCCAAATACGGGTACGAGTTGGCGATACAAAAAACGTGGTAAAACTGTTGATACTTCTGAACAATGATTTCCCAATTTTACAAAAAGGTAAAAATAAAATTCATATTTTAAACTAATAGATAAAACTAATTCAAGTACATAAAATGATGAATAACAATATAAATTACAATGGAATTAAAATTGTATTTTAATACTTATTACCATAATATAAGAAGTCTGTGATTTTACATTTTTGAGTTCTTTGAAAACAATGCATTTTTATGAGATCAGCTCCTTTCTCAGCTATCATTGCAACAACAGAGTTTATATTCCCACTTGGCATGGAAGGCATAATTGATGCATCAATTACATACAATTTATTTAATTTATGCACTCTACAACATACATAATATAATTATACTTAAATAAAAGTTATGTTAATCAAGATTTATATTTATTGAGTGGGTAAACTTCCTACCTTAATGAATAATCCACTACACTTTTATCATGGATATTTCCCATTTTACATGTACCCACTGGATGATAAGAAGTTAACGTCATATGTCTAATGTAACATTCCCAATAATGGTTCGATCCAAACTTATATTTTTCACAACCAGGAAAATGTTTTGTGTTAAACATAGCACCAAGCTTTGATAATGTTTTAGTTTCTGCAAATTTTTTCACCAATTTCATTCCTTGAACTAACACATTGACATCATGTGATTTTTGTAAATAATTTGGTTGAACRACAATTTCACGATTAATGTCCAACTTCACATATCCCCTGCTTTGAGGATGCAATAGCACTGGTGCTAATGAAATGACCTGTCTTCCTACTAGAGGTTGAAAATATTCATTCCAAATCTTAAATTAAACAATGAATCAATATTTTAGTGTTACTCATGTTTAATGTTTTGGAATATTTATATTATTTAACTTGCTTCATTTTTAAAATTCAAGTGGTTGAAGTATGCTGCACCTGCATCAGATGATACCCCATATGGTAAAAGCATAAATTGCAAATCAGGATGTGACACAGAATAGTTTTTGTTATCTGAAGGTAGTTGTAATAAACCAACGGCTTCACATCCTGGATGTGTCCATGTGCCTAAAAATTTGTATATCAGAATATAAAATTTAAAAATAACTGTATTTTAGGTATCTTACCAGTTCCTTTGAAAAAGTATTTATAAATATTAATTGGCGATATAAAATCTTTAAAAGTTAAATCCAATGATTTTTCTAAAGTTATCATATCCAATCCAGTAATAATGTGGTCTTGTAAATTTTCTCCCACTGCTAAATCCGCAATTACAGGAATCTTAAAGTTACAATATTATTTAAATAAAAATAAAATAAATAAAAATATTTGTTTACTTTTAATGCTTTAAGTTGGTATGCTGGTCCAATACCACTTGATAAAAGTATTTTTGCTGTATTCAATGTTCCTGCAGATATGACTACCGACTTAAATGCATAAACTTTATAAGCTAGGTCAAATCTGTTGAAAATAACTCCATTTGCTTCGTAATTATGTTTAAACAGCACCTACTTAAATTAAATAATAATAATATTAATAGGTTTTGTATAATATAAAACTTTGTTACTCAAATATTTTATGCTGAATAACCTTTGTAACTAGAGCGTTAGTGAGCACAGTTAAGTTTTTTTTTTTTTTTGATTTTAAGTATAGGTGTTCAGCACTTAATCTTGCTCCTTTTCTTATTGACACTGGTGTCAATGAGAAACTACCACCACCACCACCATCTCGCCTGGAAATATGAAAACCATTGTTGTTCATATCAAATGAAGTATTGAAGTCCAACTCATTGGCCGCCTCAAGTATAGCTGTCGCAAATGGTGTCACATGTGTTGGCTGATGACTGAAGAATTGTTTTTTGTTGGGTGATCCTGGTTGTACGGTTTTTATTTTTAATGKTTTTATATTTTTATTATTTATGTTGTGGAATTTTCTCATATGTACATTGAATGTTTGTATAAAATCAAGACACATAGTGATAAGTTACTTCTAATTCTTACTGTTATGTAAATTTTTTAACATAAAGATACTTACTATTATATGTATCAGCTTTTTCATATTTATTGAAGTAGTAAAGAACATCCTCTTTGGTCCAATCTTGTTCAGATTGCCACGATAAATAATCAGTAGAAATATGCCCTCTTACATGAATATTGAAATTTATACGACTACTGCCCCCCAAGACTTTTCCTGCAGGCCATTGGCTAGACTTAAAAAAAACAAGATAATATCATATAGTTTATAGCTTGCATACAAATACAATATTGAATTGATTGTTTATCTGAAAAAAATTTTTATTTAATATTAATATATTCTGCATTCAATACATTTTTTTTCATTGCGAGACATGCGTCCAATTGTGACTCTGTTTGGTGTTTCCAATCAATTGGTGACTTCTGGAACATTGGTGTGGCAAGAGGTATATCGTGCAATAATGATACTTTAGGTCCAGCTTCTATTAATAAAACCGTATGTGCTTCATTTTCTGCTAAACGTGAAGCTACAGCAATACCTGCTGTTCCTCCGCCCACTAAAAATATATTATTGCAACATTAGAACACAGAACATATTAGAAAATATAATTTAAGTTTTAAATATATATAAGTTAGTGTAGGACTGTAGGAAAGAAATAGAAATACAAAAAAGATACATAAAAAGAAATACAATTTTCATTAGACACAAGTATTGTGTATGTTAATAAAGGTAAATAATTATAATTGGTARACAATGCATTCAGTATTCACACTAAGAGCTAAGAGCTAATATTATTTTTAAATAGCAAAGACTATTTTTTTTACAGATTCAGTTAGATTTTTTTAAACAATTTTTATTCTTGTTCAAAAAATTGGCAAAAATTAAGTAAGTTGATATATACCACTAATGTATTATTAACCTGTCTTATTTAGTAAATAATTAATAATTTAATAATTTAGGTATAATATTAAAATTTAAACCTAACAATGCAGTGGCGCTGATCACCTAATTTATCAATAACATATTATGTCATAGTAGATTTTTTATATTGGGGGAGGGGGCACTGTACTTCAGGTTCCAAAATTTACGTCAAAAAGTACAAATAAACGATTAAACATTGCATTATGTAGGTACTTTGATGTTTGATTTGCATATGATAGTTTAATCAAGGAAAGGAGGGATGATGAGGTCAATCGATACCTTAATAAAAGTTCGAACTATATAGTTGGCCGTTCTCGTAAATACTTTTMAATTGTAGTAATTTGAATAAAATAATTATATAAGTTGTATACCTATCTGCATGTATAAAATTATAGGAAATATTAACACGTAGTTAAGAGTACGTAACAGTGGTATTTGTTGTCACCGTCTTACCAGTGCGTAATATACCAAATTTACGCTCAGCAGAACACTTATAGCTCCTTTATTTTAAAAACTACAGTGAATCGACCTATTATGAAACTTGATGGTAAGAACATTATCTGTGTTTGTACGTTGGTTTTTTACGATAATTCAATTTTTAAGTGAGTTATGAGCATATAATATACAGTACATTAAAAATACTCATTACTCACTTAAAAATTGAACTATCGTAAAAAACCAACGTACAAACACAGATAATGTTCTTACCATCAAGTTTCATAATAGGTCGATTCACTGTAATTTTTAAACTAAAGGTGTTTGATGTGTTTTTAGTTTTTTACATCTGTTGCCAGTGAATATTTCTAATAAAATAATATTATTTTTACATATTTTTTATTATGCGATGATATTTAAGTATTAATTTCAATATTCTCACTAAATATTATTAGTTCAAAGAAAATATGCCATTTAGTAAACACGGAACAGTGGAGTGGTGAACAACGTGCTTATGCGATAAAATCGTTTTACAAAAATATGACAGTTACATTATTAACCTAACCTTACCGTGCAGCGTTCATTTCGTCTTCGTTTTAATCTTAAACGCTATGAATTTCCCATGATTTGGTACCATCGGCTAAGGCTATTAAAATATGGGTAATTAACTATTTATTTGTTTATTTTTYTATTAATATATAATATAAGGCAGAGTGAAAGCGAGAGAGACGGAGTCACGGGGAAATATATTTTTGATATTTTATGAATTTTCGATTAATACGTTATATGATTATATAATATTATAATTTATTATTTTATTCAAAAAAAAATATTGCAAGATTATTAWTAAAAAAAGATGGACAAGTGAATACCGCTCGGCCATAAAAAAATATAAATAAAAAAAATATCGTATCTCTATACATCATTAATCATTAGTATTTCTGAACTTCTATAAGTAACTTTGAATTAGAATTTCAAGTTATTTTTACTAAGTGAATTTTTTTTATCCAAGATAGTTRAAAAAATTAATTACTCGCAATATTCAAAAAATGTCTCATGGAAATAAATAACTCAAAAAGAGAGATTTTGAAATTGTTGCTTACTATAATTATTTGATAATTGTATTCCAATATAAATATTTGGTGAAAATTTAAAATGTACGGTTAATAGTTTTTGGGTTATGATTATTAAATATTGAATTTAGAAAAAATAACCATTTGTTTTCGAATTGTATTGTTTTTTACCGACACTATCGGAATTCCCGACTGTGGCTTCTAAAAAGTATCAACTAGATTTACTTTTATATCAGAAAAGATGTAGATGTCGAAAATCGGAGCATTTTGACTATCCTAAAAGATAATGACAAACAGAAAAACTAAATATGACAATTTTAGTTATACTTATTGTTGTAAATTAAAAATATTATTCGTGGTTACTTGAAACGTCTAAAKCATAATACTGTGTACAAATATTATGATAATATGCAAAATGCAAATAGGTAATATTGATTAAACCTACCGGCTCGCGGCTACCGTATTAACACAGACTATTATATGAAAAATATATATTTTCATATACTAGTGTGTGATATTATAATTTATAACAATATTAAACAATATAAATATAATATAAAATATCTTAGGCCTACAAAATCCGTCCTCGCTCATAGCTCAGAATAGTTTTTCGTGTACAATGATTTTAAACCATTGAATTCAATTAATTTAACATCATTCATTACAGTTACCTTTTTATAACCTACTGTACAGCTGCAGAGCGTTATCTAATCTTTTTTTTTTTTTATTATGTTTTATTCAATCTGTTTTAAAGGAGAACAATAAGAATAATTGATTTGATGATAGAAGCCAAGATAAAAATAAAAATAATATATACAATGGCAGATTTGGGGATTGTAGAGGCCTCCCAGTGGAGGTACTACGACATGAGTGAGATTTTCTTAGGCTAGGATATTATTGTACATATATTCACTTAGGCTAGCAAGTAGCAGGCCACGACACCACTGTCTTTTTAATCTTTTAGTAGGGTTACATGGGATAGAAACAGATGATAGGTCAGAGATTAAGGGATTTGTWTGTCTAGGCGGCTATTGAAATGTTTATAATGTGTTTTCGCTAGTTCAGAGACATGCGGAATTTTGAGGTCGGAGTGAGGGTGTGATTAGAGACAAAGAATGGCGCTTTAAGAATTATACGTAGAGTTTTTGATTGGAATCTTTGGATGCGGTTGATGTTGGAGATTTTGGCAGCGCCCCATAGTCATCTAATCACCCKTTTTTTTTTTTTTTTGTCTACGTAGCTATTATGCGCCATTAACTTCAACTTGTTTTAAAATGAATGGCTTATAAATATAGTTTTTCATGTAACAGTTTCGTTAATAGAAGGTCGTTCTAAATTTAGAATCTTTATAAGATCTGAATAATTTAATGATATTCAATAYGCATCTTCAATTTTTCTGGTCCAACATACGGATACTAAGATTTTCCGTGTCATCAAAAATACAAGTTTTATAAATTGTGTTGTTATAACTCGATTGAGTTAACATACTATGTTTCTACGGCTTTATAAAATATTTATCTGTTGACTGTTGGATCGTAATAGATATATTATGTACCTATACAAACTTACAACCCGCGAAGTGCATACTGTATAGTTTGTAGCTGAAAAATTCGATGAGTTCTACAGATGGTTTCAGTAAGACATCATATGAAGACGTTATCTCTTACAACTGCGTTGTCTGGCATTGAACCGTCCATATATTAAAATACGATCGTTACAAATAAAATGAAAATAAATTAAAACACTGAAAATAAAGACAGTTAAAAACGGAGCTTCACGACAATTAGAGCGMTCGTTGAATATGCGATGAGGTGTGCTATACCAATACTGCATTACCGCTTGAGTTACAAGTTGAAAGTGCCAATTGGCCAAGTCCAAGTAACATAAGAGTGCCTGATTGGTATTTGGTAATTAAGAGTAATAAGATTTACTATTCAGTTGAAATATTACAGATCCAGTGTCAGAGTTCGTTGATTTAAAAAATAACAAGAACAATAATACTATAATAATATAAGTATTAAGTATAACTAAAAATTCAAACATTTCAAACTTATTTCTATGSAAGTGTATGGTGACGACGCAAATGGGAGTGTTGCCAACTCTGATTTTAAAAATCATCTCATTATCATTCGAAATTACACTAAAATTAATGCTAATTTAAAAATGAGAATACCTATATTATATTTTACGAAAATTCCACAAACTTTAATTTAATATAATTTTTAATGTTTTTATATTAGTCTAGTTACTTTTTTCTTAATCTATGATAAATGCACAAAACGTTTTGTCATCAATGATTGCACATTTTTTGTACCTACTATGTATGCCGTATGCGATGGATACCCACAATTCTAAAAACAAATTTTTTTATTTTACCATATGGGAATATAGTATAGTATTGTTGAGATACTTCATGAATGTTTTATAAAAAAATGTATACGTTTGAATAATTAAATTTATGTATATGAAATAGAGTTTGAGTATAAGAATAAGAATCAATCACCAAGTTTTCGTATCATTAAAATCCATCATAAAATTACATTTATTAATACTTATCGGCTATTGTCCAAGACCTCTTGATGTAAATAAGAGATAATGAAACTTAATATAATTATAGTTAAATTGGATATTGAGTCTTTATCTCCATAGATTTCCATATTCCATGTAACATTAAAAATAATTTTAACAAGAGATTTATCGGATTTTTCAACAAGTCGTAGGTATACACCTAGCAAGTTTTGTGTATAAAGTATAACATGAATAAAAAATGCTTATAACTCATCTAAAAACTAAATTATCGTAAAAAAACTCACATACAAATTAGTGATGGGCATGAAATCCGGATATCCAAATCCGGATTCGAATCATATTTTTATCCGGATTTCCCGAATTATCCGGGTTATCAGGATTTATGGATTTGCTTTTTATGACTATTTGATTTCAGACTTACAAATATTTTTAATGTATGGTAAAATAAATTATTTTATTATAATGAAAATTTAACAATAAATTAATACTTAAGTTGTATTATTTACAGCATATTTATCAATTTCAATGATTATTTATTATAGTTATCAAACAAAGTGCATAGTAAGTACGTACTTAAGTAATTGTTTTTATAACAGCTAAGCGCAAAACATCACTGGTACTTAAAATTCATTCGAAATTTTGTACACATATGTCTGAAAATTATGTTATAGAATTAAAATATTATTAATATACAAAAATGAGTCATTGAACAGCAAAATCGAGTTGAATAATCCGGATAYTCCGTGAAATCCGAGTATGCCCACTACTAATACAAATACAGATAATATGATCTTCAGTGAAGTGTAAACTACTCACAATATACACAGTTACTAGTATTAGTATAATAAGTATAGGACTATAACTATAGTATATATAGAGGCAGTTGAGCAAGACAGTAGGTAACAATAATTATAAGTACTAATAATATATTTTACAGTTTCATAATAAATAATATTAATAATTCATTACTTATATGTGGATACCTTAATACTTAAGCAATTACCTGCTAATATTTAAATATAATGTATAACATTCAGAGGAGAAACTAGAGAAATTTTTCTTAGAGGGAGGAGCTAGAATTGTATCAGTAACTCTARCTATAGACCTCCAAATTTACATGTGATCCGCTAATCGTAAATTTGCCAAGTTACGCACTTTGTAAGACGAAGACAACAAACGCCAGTATTACGTCCTATTAATAAATGTACTTTCGTCTTTCGTTATTAATTATTAAATGCCAAATAACAATTTTACGTACCGACGATGTGATCGAAATATCGGGTTTTGACGTCCTCTCCTCCCACATACTTGTCTAAAATCACGTTCAACCAGTAGTCAGCGAACACGTACGACGCAAAAATATTGACTAGAATAGCGTACGGTATATAGATCAGAGCTAGGTAATACATTATCGCGGTCGATTTGGCGGGCAAAAAATGTGTGTAGTTCGACCACGTGTTGCTTGACGATGTGAATATCACCTGACACCTACTGATTCCTGACTTATCACTCACGACTCACGAGTCACGGGCCGCGGCACACGGTTCATGGCTAAAATGGTATATTATAATGAATTGTGGTTTATGACTTACGATGAATCTATCCGGTGTCCACAATTCACATCCACAGTCCACACTCTTCAGTGGATTAGATCAGACTGCCGTAGAACCATTGTAAATTGTTCTGTGGTCCGTAGAACCATTGTACTGTGGTAGTACCGTCGTTATCAATTTATTTGTTATCAACCAAATATCATTTCGTTATTTGCATGATGTAGAGGAGGTGCTTTTCATTCACGGATTAAGACTAGGTTAGTCGGTTCTAAGATTTTAATCAYATTATACTACTTAATACCTTAAGTACAATTACTATTTAGTATATACTATGTAGTTTCTAGTAATCTAGTATATTATCAGATATCTTAGTCCGTATTTCCACACCGATGACTATAAAATGGCGAATAATGGTGTACAATCTGCAATCATTGTTGCTGTTACTAGACCAATAGTAATGTTTAATATAATTTATATTTTAGGAACTTATTTTTATTAATTTAAGTTATATATTTTATATGATTGTTTGTTATGTTTTAAAAATATTGTTTTTTAAGATTTACTTTCTAGTATCTAGTGATAAAGAATGCTTTAACAAAGTTGTCGAAATAAATAATACTTGAGATGTAGGAATTGCAATGCTTGGAATTGAAATGAATATACCAGATCCAGAKGTTTTTTGTTCTATTGAACCACCATCTCAAGTATACTGTATTCGTACGTCTATTATACAACAATTTCAAGTAGTTTTATTTAGATATAATAATAACAATATGTATGTTACTTGAAATACTACCACATTCTTTCAACTTGACTATACATGAGACTTGTTTCGTGAGAAAATKCATCTTCTTCTTCTAGTACCTTTTTCCAATATTAAAGATTTTAAAATTAAAATATTTTTTTTTAAAAACAAAAATTAAATTAAAGATTATTTTAATATTAGGTAAAATTAGTTGCTTCCAATCTCATAACATAATTTTTATAGTTAATATTGTTAATAACTACAGTTTTTAGCATCTCAACAAATTACTACAGGATTGATTTGATTCAATTTTACATTCATGTATAGAATTGAATGTTATCATTCATCCAAGGTAAACAATATTCTGTTGATTTTAATTTAATATTATCTAAACTTTATTCATTTGTATTAAATATTTAAGTATAAAGTAATAATTTATACAATGCATTTAATAGTGATTTATGTTTTCCATCAAAGGCCATTATTATTTTACTAGTTAGGTAATATTATTTCTTAGTATATACTGTATTGAAAAAATTTATCTAAAAATTATAAAATTATTAATGCTAGATACCRTAGAAGTTTGATACTTAAGCTGAATTACAATTGTTTACAATAATTGTATGTTAGTGTCAACTTTCACAATGTAGTATATTTTATTAATTATTTGATGTTGACATTTTTTTTTTTTTAACGAAAGAAATTTTTTTTAAATTTTTATTAGACATAAACAATTTGTACAATATAAGCAGAATAAGATTCTTTGATAAGAGTATAGAAAAAAAAGAACAAAACAAGCATTTTTCTCACAATTGAGATTTGTGGATTTTTGTTCTATTAATATATTTTTTTCCTATTTTACCTTTTAATTGATTTTTAATAATTTCATGTTATATATTTCCTAAAATATCAATAACATTTGTATAAAATTAAACTGTAATCCTTTTTTTACTTTTTTTTTTGGAAAATTCAAAATTAACTATTTAATTTTTATTTAAAGTTTATAATTATATGAAATTGTGTCTTATGAGTTATAATAGGTATTTATAAATTGTATTACTAGTATAATTTTAAGTTTTAACTGATATAACCGAGTTTTAACGGGTATCTATTTACTGTACATATACATTAACTAAATCAAAATGTATGTCTATTTCAAGTACTTACCTAGATTATTCCGGGAACCAGAAATCTAACGACGGTGCTTATATTGTTCGATCTCGTGTATTTTATGCATTTCGTGCTCGGAAATAAAATATGCGTACACTTGGCTAACTGCATATACAGGGTGTCTGGCGAGGATTTACCCATTGCGATATTTCCTGAGATAATAAATATATCATAAATCTATTTATTTTTTTATTAGATTTACATAGACAAGGGATACGTGTACCCTTGTTTTTTTATTAAAAAAATAATAAAGATACCTATTTTTTAATTTAAAAAAAAAATAAAGATACCTATTTTATAGAGTTTATTTTTCTGAAAATGTTGACTTTTCAACATTTTATTTTTATTAATCTTATGATATAATGATATGATTTAATAATTTTTTTAGTTTATGTATAAAATGGCGAAAAATTGGATTTTATCCGTGCGGCGAATCCCCCTCTAGGGCTCATGGGTATATCCTCACGGGACTCCCTGTATTTTACTATTTTGTCATGGAATTAAATATTTATTTGAATTTCAAATAGTAAATTTAAGCCCCAAAAGTACCCGAAAACAAACTCACTTTGACACTTTAAACGTCGACTATTTCGGGCTTCGATGGAATCCGTGACGTGTGTGCAATGCGACGCCTATACGTGGCGATGCTTCAGATACTAAACTTTGGCATGAAAATATAGTGATTTATGAAAAAATTAAACTGAAATCGTGTGGAATGCAGTTTTGTTTATGTCTGCTTTTGCTGATTGAAATTGTTGAATCTTTAATCGGCTGAGTCTTCTGGAACGTCTCTGCCTTGTATTGTTCTACGTGTATTACGTCAGTGTGATAAACTCAAAGATATTTATTATATTATTATAATACAACTTTTCACATTATCAAACATGTCCGTGATGTTTACGATTTGTTCATTGAATTAAATAATTAATGAAATATGATATAGAAATAACCAAAATAATTAATAATTTTAAATTTATTTTACTATTGATTTAGAAGGTGTTTAGACATTAGAAGCACAATCAAAATTTTTTTARACATATATCTCTWTAAATTATTAAATAAAAATATGTCATTATGAATAAATGTGATTAGGTACTGCTTTTTAGAATTAACAGCGAATATATCAAAATTTACCGTACGCATATAATTGCACGAAATTAATATTTTTATTGTTTGTACCTTCGCGGCATTACAATTATTCACTTCCAGTCAAAAAAATATGGAAACAATTTTACTCTAAACATCAAAACTTACTAACTAACAGTTGTGTGTACGAGACTCAGGTTTTTTGTCCATTTCTACTTTGTTGAAATATTATAATCGTTATTCGTTAATGAACTCCGTTCTCTGTAAAGATTTTGGCAATTGCCGTAGATGAAAGATTTAAGATATTATATTAATCCAATATGGCAATATAATATATATATTACTACATAATACATGATAAATCCACATATTACATCGTATTACAATACTAATTTTCATGTCAAAGAAGTTCGTATTCACTATTTGTTCATAGAATATTGAAATGTCAATCACCAAATCTGACAATATTCAAAAAATGGGTTGAGGTAAAATTTTAATAATATATCATTATTTTTTTTGTTATTTATTGATTTGATTTTAGAAACTCACGTTGTATTGCATTTTTGTAGTTGATTAACGATGCCATTTTGTTACCAACAACTTGGGTAGGTACCTATACTAAAACATCACTATATGAAGTGGATTCAGAACTCATCATGTAGTGTGTGTGTTCTGCAGTATATTTAATGTATATGTATACCTAATGTGTGGCTATAACATTTTGTGACAGTTCACAGGGCAACTGTGAACTGTCATAAGTTACCTAATGCAAAAACAAGTAAAATTCATCATTTTGATCTTGAAAATTCAAAAAGTTGGATTCATTATTCAACTAAAACTTTTAAAAACTATTATTAAAAGGTATTTCGTAGTATCGTCCTACCCATTTTTTTAATTTAATTATTAAACTATGAAGTATTAACGGCATAGAGAATCAGCTTAAAGCGTTAAATTTAAATTCTTAACTTTACTTGACACCACGATGGACCTGTCCATAGAATACAGTCTGTCCTAACTTTTTTTTTTTGTTACCATATTATATAAATAGATTTTTTTCTAATACATTTTGATTCATCGACCATGTTCTTAAACCTAAAATGGACCGAGATAATATGCTATAGATAGTAGATACACCCATACAGGCTTATTATAGGTTTTTAAAATTTTCAAAAAAATAGGAATATTTGATTTGTCTCCAGCAAAACGTTGGCATACCTCCACATACCTCCAATGTTCAATAGATTTTCCGCTGCTTCTTTAGAATCTTGGCTAAATGTGCCCTCCAAGACTCCATCATGATTTTCGTCAAAATACCGTTATAGGCTTTAATTCGGGCAGACTTTATTTCTTACATCATTCAAGTGTAGAAGGAACATTGGCCTTGACCACCGATTCGTGCACATKGGCGTGTTTCTTTACTACAGACGTACAACTGCAGTAGAGGATTGACTCGGCGAGGATGAAAAACGGGTGCCATCTGACCTACCTCCACCACCAGTGTGCTAGAAGAAAAACAGTCGCCGCTGGGGTTCCTTCTGTAATTTATAATTCTATGGATAGGGCCGAGATAAGTACGTCGCCAAGCTCAAAATCTATCATGGCAATTAATGGAATAATAATCTTAGATAATATACTGTATATGATCTAAAATAATGATATTAAACGAAAAATTACGATTTTATTTTATTTTTATTTTTATTATTCTTAGAGACATTTAACTTTTCGCCATTATGTTTATCAATATTATACTATACATTTTATGTACAAAATATTTAGACTTATTTAAAGTTCTTTATAATACCATAGCCTCGTTATTACCTTTAGCTTTATTTGCGGTACCTACGTCAAGTTTTGACATATTCAGTTATTAACAGCTACTGACATTGAGATTAATTTGAAAATGTATTTGATGCATCACCAGTGGTTGACTTGGAAATAAATTAGTAGAGGTACTCTAGCTACTTTTAAAATGTAGCGTCCCTAGCATTTTAATAAAACTTGCATAATCATGGCGGTGGGGGGTTAAAAGTTTACATAACAATCAGTCCAATGCATTCCCCTATAAAAAAGAAGTAGGGGTACGCTAGTGTATCCAAAAAATTAGTTGAGGTACTCAGTCCCCCCCCCTCCCCCAAAAGTCAACCACTGTGCATCATGTAATATTGAATTCAGAAAAACCAAAGATCAACACATTCTCTTCTTCAATACTCTTATGTTTAAAACTTTAACCCAAATCTGGCAACATAAAACAGAGTAGACGACTACGATTTTGTCTCTTTCATTTTAAAATTTACCCTGTACGTTACCTCCAAAAAGTATTTCAAGCCTATAATTACCTTAGGCTAAATAATATAGATATTATTAAATATAATTCATAATTAATTAATTGTATATTTGTATTGTATTTCAATGTTTAATCTAATTTACGTTATATTTTATTAAATAAAAAATAATTATATTTTGAATTATTCTATCTTTTCTTTAACAAATCAATTGATATGTGTATATAGAATTAAACTATAATTTTCAATTATTATTATTCTAATTAAACATCTATCTTATTGAATTATAATTTAAAATGATATACATTAATATTATTCCACATTAATGACAGACATCAAAATATCTACAAACATAAATTATTAATCAAATGCAACAGGTTAAGGCTGATAAATCAAGATGAACACAATATATTATTCAAAATTATTTATTTATGTACATAATAATTTGTGGTATAAAAATCTACCAGTATATAAATATAATAAAATTGTTATTCTCAGTTTATATAATAAACCTACTTCCATAATATACAAATGTTTTAGATTCTAAATGTTATTTAATCATTAAATAACATTTTACAAACTCAATGTTCTTCTCCCTGTACACTGGTCGGTGAATATGATTTTACTAGGTGTATCTTATATAAAATGCTAATAGCTGAGTTATTATTTGTACATACAATATAAATGTTATATTGCCAAGTAATGGAAATGCCCATTAAGAATAATCAAATTACAATTCTCATGTGGTGAAGATGTGGTTCATCTAACATTAGCGAAAACGATTAATTTTAAACTAATATAAATGAATAAATAACCTCACCAAAGTTCATTACATTATTTATGATAAAATGAACAGATATAAAGTATTAACCATAGACACAGGATAAGTATTTAAACAATATACATCTTTATGGTTCAAAGATTACTAACTGTCTCTCTAATCAGTCAAATATGTCGCCTCTAAAAGTATTTTAAACAATATTCAATTTATAAATAAAAGTTACCTATGATTAATTTATAACCTAATCAAAATAGCTACCTATAAGTAATAATTTAGAAATATAATATAATATGTCTCTATATAACTTGGGTAAAGTTTTTTAAATCGTATAAACAAGTTATATTTTCGATTAAAATTATAAAACAGGAAGACGTTTAAGGTGATATGTCTACACTAATAGTAACAATTATAATATTTTAGTTGCATAGAAATTATATAATATTAAATTTTAAAATGTTAAAAATAAATTTGAGTAATAGTTAATTGTGGTTATTAAAATAATATATATATGATTCAGAAGGCTGATTCTAATCCATACCAATTTATAATGTTTAGGTGAGATAAAGATAGTATCAGCCATATTTCTAAAATTGTTAACTTATTTAAAATTAAAACTTAAGAGCAAGGAGTGAAGAATACAATTACAATTGGTGTTTTTTCTCTTATAGCCTAACAATGACAGATTTAATAAGATACAAATAAGATTACAATTTTTTTTGCGATTTAAATTTTACAACTCACAGAAACTAAAAAGGAACATAAAATTGTCTCTTTTTGATTGGATGGAACAAATGTAGTTTTTTCTTGACAGTTAGGGCAAGTACAGTTAATTTAATTCTTATAAAGAATTAATTGATTTAATCATTGAGGCCTTGTCTTTTTTCTTCTTCTAACATGGCATCTAACTCATCAGTTAAATTGGCTAACATATTTCCGATATCATTTAAAACATCTGCTGGTTCTTTTTTACCGCTGTAATAAAAATATAGGATAAAAATTATATTTTGTATGGTAACATATAACTGATAAATGTAATTAAAAATATAATAATTTATGTTCTAAATGTATAATTGTTATTAATAATTATCAGTGATTAGTTTATATTGTAATAGTAAAAATATAATATGTGCATGTTAAACTCTTATTAATTAAAATAATAAAAATTTTTTTGAGATGTTACCAACCCTGATGTTTGAAAAAGAGCTAAACCCAAACTGAACTTTTTTTTAATTTGACAAACTCAAACTTTTTTATTTTTTTTTTTTATTAAGAAAGACAATTTACAATCTGTACACAATAATTACAATAAGCAAATAAGATAAAAACAGAATAAAGTAGCATGAATGACGTGATAAGGAAGAAACCCAATGGTAACACCTAAACTCAAACTTAAGAAACCTATTTTAATATTGGACAAAAAATCAAAACAAATCAAAAAAAAAAAACATTATTCAAACCAAACTATTAGGCATTTCATTTGGTTTGAATATTTATGAATTTCATTTTTTTTCTAAATAGATGAAACATCTTAGATGATGCTACACAGACATTAATTTATGTCTCTGTGTACAGGTGCGTAACAGCTAATTTTACACTCAACCTATCTCTTTAGCTTAATAAGTTAAAAATTATAGTGAATTGACCTCTTATAAAATTTAATGGTAAGATTAATATCTAGAGCACCTTAAAAAATCTGTAATTTCCTTTAAAATTAAAAAATTTTATGAAACGTCTTACATAATTAAATAATTTAACCCCTAGATAATCTTACCTTTAAATTTAGAAGTTGGGTTTAGTACAAAAATCAAACAGTTCATAGCATTAATAATAATTATAAAATATACAAAATGTCTGTCTGAGAAACAGAAATTATTATAAAGTCAATTGCATTTGTTGGTTTTTCAGTTATAGTATTTACAAATTATAAAATATACAATATATTTTGTTTTTACCTAGGAGGCATTAACGAAAATTGACTTGTCGTTGAGTGCATTGAATAACTTGAAGTTGTGTGCATAGAATGAGATCCTTCAGCAAGCATGGGTTGAATTAATTCTAAAATCAAACAGTGAAAAATATTATAATAATTGAAATATAACAAATAAAAGTTATACACTAACCATTTGTAGATCTGATCGTTCTCTGTTTAATTGTGCCAGCATTTTCATTGGCAAATGGAATAGTATCTGACTCAGTACTTGAATTTGACTATAAAACAATATTTATTTATAATTTTATACACACAAATTATAATTACATATAGTGTTTAAAAGATAAATAGTTTACTTTAAAGCTTGCATTTGATCCAATATGATCCTCCAAGTTATGTTTAGAAGACATATTGTCTGTAGTCCATTTGCCCAAAGATTTAGATTTTAATGTTGGAATACAATGTAGATCAGCAACAACAGTTACTTGATGACCCTTTTTATTATCTTCACAAGACTGTTGACGTTTAGGTGGTGACGGTGGTCTACGTTTCAATGTATTTAATCCTGAACAGTCTTCTCTGAAAACAAAAATATATATCATTTTATTTATGTGAATATTCAAAAAAAAAAAAAAAACAATTTAGTATAATTTTTTGATCTTACATATTTTGTTGAGTAAATAAAGCGGGAACTTTAGCTACTAATCTTGGCTTAACTAGTCCTCTTGGTCTAGGCAATGTACCACCACATTCATGAAGAATAGATGTTTCATTTGTCGGTGTTAAATCACCATCTTCAAAACTTTTTTGCTGATGTCTCCACTGTGGAGGACCAACAAAACTACTTGTACCTCCAGTTGTTGAATTCATATTTTCATGTAGACTTTCTAATGATTTGCCACGATGAGTTCCTCTTAGCTAAAATTATAAATAATACTAATGAATAAACATTTAACTTGAAATATAATTTAGATAAAATCAAAGGGGGAAATAATAATTCTTTACCGATTCCTGAAATTCGAGTGTCCAGTTCGAATCCGGAGTAGGTCTAGGGGACTTAGTAAATTGACAAAAGCTCAGAAATTGATAAAAAGCAACAAGACATAGACATGATGATAGCAAATAATAATTTATAAAATAGATGTATACCTTGATGGGAACAATATCTGTTTGACAATATAGTTGTTTGCTACTCTCTAATTCCCAAGGTTGATGAAAGCTGTGATACGTGGCATGAACACGAGGTAAATCAAGTTCAACACTGCCTGTACCGCAACTTATGTTAGTGATACTTGTTCCACATCCAGAACTGCTGCTTACAATGCTTAATGGTGACTCGATGCAGGCCTTTTGGATGCAATTAAAGGTTTAAATAAAAATGATTGCAAATTGAAAGCATTGTAAAACATAAAAATGTAGTCATGCCAATTAAATTATATACACATGCTTTTAAAAGAAACAAAATTCAAAGAAACGAGCAATTTGTAAAGTTTGAAGTACTTACATCCCTATTTTCATAATTCATAGTGCCTCAATGTTTACTAAATAAATAAAATTAAAAAAATTTGGCCACTAAAAATTTTTTAAGAAAATAAAAATCTAAGGGAAATCAAAAAACAAAAATGGGAAATGCAGTGCGGTGTTTACATTGTTAAAAATAAAATAAATMAATTTTTCAAATACATATTTAAGAATATTTAATTTGGGCAACAATTTAAATAAAATTATTAAGTAACTATATGAACCGATACAACTTTTAATGTTTAAAATTTTTTTATATAAGTATATTATAATTGATTGTTTAATACTCAAAGGAAATTTGATTGTTGTATTTCATTTTTGATAAAATCAATTAAGTTTTGACAAAAATAAATATTCTCATAAAAAAATATAACTTGTAAACCAATTATAACAACGTTATAAGTAAAATTTTCTATATACTTGGTTTTTGGTGAAAAATAATTATTTTATTTTTATTTTACAAGAGCTACAAAATTAAAAAAAGAAAAAACTAATAAAATGTGTTTGGATATCTACATAGTGATATAACTAATAATTGCTAAATAATTTGAAATATAATAGATATTGTTGATGTTTTTTTAAGATAAATTAAGTTTTGATATTTTTACGTTAAGAAACATTTTAAATATCAATTTTTTTTTAATTTAGAATTTTTACTCACTTGAGTTTGAATAATATATGGAGAATGAGGAACAAATGATTTTCCAGCCTTAATATCTTTTACTCGTTTAATTGCTAGTAATAATCTTTTTTGATGCCCAAGTTTGACTATTCCAATATCTTCTAAATCTTCCCATGTTAACTGAGTTACATCATCTATTGTTGAATAACCTTGAGCTTCTAACGCTGATCCATATTCTTCAAGTCTTAGTAATCTAAGCCATTCATCTAACGACCCCTGAATAATTTTGTTCGCAATATTAACAAAATGTTCAAATAATGCACAAAAATACAACAAACAATACTTACAGGAATGTAGTCTAATAGTCCATCAGATATATTTAATAAACCAATTTCTGCTTTTAATTTCTTTCTATGATTTGGTTTCTTTACACCAATAGCAGTTAAATCCTATACAATAAAAATAAAATAAGTACATAGGTAATTTAGTATAAATTAAGAATGTATTAAGTTAATTATTTAGAAATAATGATGGATTAAAATTGACTATTTTTTAACTACTTTTTATTGTTTCTAATCATATAACATATCTATTTAAATTTAAGTTATGATGCCAATTATTTCAAAATGTTTTAAACAAATTTAAGAGTTAAAATTAAATGACATGATTATAATGTAACTTAAGATAAATAAATAAAAATGAAATATAATCAATTAATAAACTAATTTAATTACTGACAACATATAACATTTGATAGATCTTTCAAAATATTGTACTGGCATTTGGTATTTTTAACTTTTAAAAGTTTGTCATATCAAATATTTAAATTAACTTACTTCTGGTGTCATTTTTGAAACAGTTCTCATATCATATCCAGCAGATATGAACAATGGTAAATATTCTTCTAGATGTAGATCAACTAACCAACTGTACATTATATCTTTATCCTATGAATAAATCCAAATTAATATCGACATTAGTATTAGTACTTTATCAAAATAAAATACATACTGGAACCCCTTGATTGAGGAGTCTTTCCACCCTAGTAGATGGACTAAGTTCTGGATGCCAATGAGTGTTTCCTCGAAGATGACACCCTGAAGCACGACCACTATCTAAACTTGCCGTAGAATGACGTGATCCTGAACCTGAACCAGATGAACCAGGACTATCACGACCAGGACTTTGAGTCATATCAATTCCTTGATCTTCCTGAAGTGATAACTGGTGGTAATACATTTTCATATTTCCACTGGGGTGAGAATACTAAACACAAAACATAATATTGATATGAATGGAAATTGAAGGTTACCAATTTTATTAAAATGTTAATTTTATTTACCGAAGTAGATCCTGGAAATGTGAAAGCTGGATGATTGAATTGTGACGATGGTGATTTATTTCCAATTGGGCAATAAGTATCTGACCCATCATAGATATCTAGATTACAAAACAAATTATTCTTAACTTCAAAATATACCTAAGTTTAAAAATGTTAAATAATTATTTTGATTTTAGTCCACAAAAATAATGTAAAGATATGCAGTGTATAATTTATTACTGAAACATATAAAAATATGTAACAATGCTTGTCTTAAAGTTAAAATTAATGGTAGATTATCAATGTTCTTGACTAATACTCAGCTATGCTTTTATTTATACTGGTTTTAAATAATGTCAAAATTTTTTTTTTTTAAATAGATTTTTCAAAATACCAATTTTTTTGTAATAATGTAATTGATATGTTTTGTCATGGTTTAATTTTTCCCAGCAAGCCTTAAGGTATATAAAAAACTGTTTCTAAATTATTTTTAATTATACCAAATTAGGATAACCTTATTATCATAAAAGTGAAATTACAAATTAAATAATAAATAAGTAAGGAAAAGCATAATATCCTAACAGAATGCGATTTTTAATGCAATGATTTATTACAAGATTTGAATATGCTGAACAGAGTAAGCCAACGACTTACACTTGGTTTTTGTATCCTATTAGGTTATATATATTTTTTTTTTTTTTAATAAATTTCACTACATATTGTAATTTGCTAAGAACTATAAGCAAGTTCAAAACTTAGAATTTTAGCACATTATGATTTCATTAGAACCAACCTTAAGCTATTTGCTTTAGTTTAATATTGAATAGACCTATTATATAATTTAAATTTAAAAGGATACTACATTGGACATTGGTATATTTGTTGTCTATGTCTTACAAGTTTGTAACATAGCCAAATTGCGCTCAGCAGATCATGTTTAGCTCCGTTAGTTTAAAATTTACAGTGAACCGACTTATGACTTATTATGAAAATAGATGGTGAGAACATTAGTATTTATCTTTGAAATGGGTTTTTATGATGATTAAGCTTTTAAGTGAGTTATGAACATTTTTAATTTACGCATTACGCTATATTATATAGGTACGCGAAATTTGTTAAAAAATAGAATTATCGTAAAAAACCCACATAAAAACACGTTATGTTCTTACCTTCAAGTTTTGTATAATAGGACGATTCACACTAACTTTTTATTCACACTAACGAGTAACGGGGCTAAACATGATCTATTGTGCGTAAATTTGCCATGTTGACGCAATTGTAAGACGGGGAMAACAAATATTAGTGTAGCGCCTTCGGACATTGTTTGTACGTGGATTTTAATACAATATTTAAATTTTAAAGTGGGATTTGTGCGTTTTTAAACTACAACAGTTTACATATTAATAACAGTAATAACTTGTATAAAAATTGAAATATTGTAAAAATTCTAACGTACAAACACAAATATGTAACGTCCTTACCTTTAAATTTAATGATAGGTCAATGTACACTAATACTAAAGCTAATGACATAAGTTTGGTTCTGCTGAACGCAAATTTATTATGTCACGCGTGGGTCAGAGATTGAAAACAATTATGTGCGCTTATATCCATTTAAGTAGGTAACATATGGATAGAATGTTTAATATTTTACATAGAAATAGGATATTAAGAAACTTCTAGAGTATATATTATGTCTTATAATATGATCAGTGTTCATCAGTAAAAAGTATCAAAAAAAATAAACTATAGATTAATAGGCACACAACAAATATATGATAATTTTACCTGGTTTGGTACAAGTATTTGGATCTAAAAATGCGTCATCACTGGAGCTGCTATATCCTGTTGATCCGAAGCTACTACCCGAATGTCGGCATGCAACTGAATCCGGAATGGCTGGTGGAGGCACTTTCTTTACTTGAGGAACATTTTTCTGAGTTTTGTTCATACTGCTAACTGTAACATCAGTACATCAAATAAGTTTCGTAAAAAACATTTTATTGCGAAATACGTTTTATAATAACACATATTCCATGTATTTCTACTGAAAAGTCATAAAAGATTTTAAAAGGTTCAACGTTCTATTAAACAATGGCTCTGATTTTACAAAAGCCAGCTACTACTTATTTTGAAACTCAAGCGCTTGACAGAGGGGAGTTATGTTGTCGAGCCTCATAGAACGAAGTCAAAAGGTTTTGGAGGGTAGTTCAAGGATGTAAAAAATCACTATTCACACGAGCAAAAAAACCTTGATTTATATTTTATATACATAAGCAATCATGTTATTTCACTGTATTTAGAAAAAGAAATATCATATTCATCAGTAATAATCATTAAATATTTTATGACATATTTAATCTTTGGCTTAAAAATTACATTAATTATTTTTTCGTTTGTAATATTATATCGATTCTACGTAAAATGAGTACGTTTATAAGTATATAACTATTATCTACAACTTCTACGAGTTACAACTAAGCATAAACAAAATGTAAATATAAATACCTAGTAAGAACCCAATATTTGTCGAAGAGAAGAACGGGCATGTGTTCTAACACTTTAACATTATACCTCTGGAATACATTTTGTATTATTAATAAACAGATTTTCTTTTTAATATAACATATAATTTATATTTAGCGTTACTACCTATAAGTAGGTAGAAAAATATTGTAATTTAAAATTATAGTAAATGGATATACCTATTAGATCGACATTTTTTTTAGATAACACTTAAATACTATGTTTAATGACCTTGATTTGATTTTCTGGACAGATTTGAACATATGCAAGTCCTATATATAGTATAGTATAATATAAATATATAATATACAAAACCAGTTTTCTTAAATTGGAAATTTGCGTGGTTGCGAATACAACTAAAATGTAGGTGTTGCACCTTTGTAAAAGAACAAAAAACATACGTGGGAAGCAATATATAATATTCTGTCAATATTTCTATTTATATGTAGTCCGCAAAATTGTAATATGCACTAATGCAAAATAATAACTAACTCTATGAAACTAAAAAACGTATAAAGTTGTAGAAATTTCTATTAACGATAAAAACCTAAACAATMAGCATAAATGAATAGTTATTGGTTACTATTTAAATAGTATTTTAACGATCGAGTTATATTACGTAAAAAATCTATTAATATAAATAATATAAAATATACATTCTGGTAACTATAAATATTTGATAAGAGACAAAAGATCTTAAATTTTTAGTATACATCCATAACAGTATTCTGCGTTTAACATTATACAAAACAGATGTTAATTTTGGTTTAAAACGAAGGGTGACACGTGGTAAGTAGATGCTCAATAAAAATGTATTACCTCTACTTATGAAACCAAAACCGCTCCATATGTAAAGTATAATCATTAAATGTAGAATCTAAAATAACATCTTTTTTATACTAATAAATTTAATAAATGAATCCACCTATTTTATACAAGATTCAAGTAAAGTAAGCAAAAATATAGTAAATGGTAAGTATTATAGTAGTATTTCTATATTGCTCTCTCTTATATAGGTGCATTAATACAGTAACAAATTAAAAATATGGCAAAGGAAATGTTAATAATGTTTTATATTATTATATATACAATAAACTATAGAGATATAAAGTACTCAAACAAATATCAAATTTTAGTGATCAACGGTTTTTAAACGAATATTTTGATTATTAAGGAATAATTTAGTTAATAAATAAGTGTATACATTATATTATCTAACTCGAGTTATTCCTATAAATCAGTTACTTGAAATGTATCAAACAGGTTTGATTTTAAATATTATAATTTACAATCAATAGTAATAGCTATTATCAAACATAAAAATGAAATAAAAGTATGATTTAAGATTAAGTGTTTATAGTTATAAACCTAGTGATAATAAGAATTATATTTAAAAAAGACTTGGTAATTTAAAATTTTAACTGAATAAATAAAACTTACTACAGTATATATTAGAAAATATTGAAACAATAAATCATATTTTTTAAATGATTTTATTTAAGAATAACAAAGATTTAACGATATCAAACAATGTCAATTTAAATATTAAACAAAATAGTTTTAATTAGCATTTCTTGGGCATTTTTAAGAATGTATCAATAATTTTAACTATGTACATTGTACATTATTTAATAGATTATAGATATATTTAAATTTGCAATATTTTATTTTTATTTAGAAAGATATAATTTTAAAGAATTTTATGCACATTTTTACTTCTAGACGATTATAAACGGAAAGATATTAAAACATATTTAACGTTTTAAGAGGACGTCATACTGGCATATATCTTGGTTTACAAAAGTAAAAGTTTGCAAATTTTCGTTCAGCAGGACAAATTTTGTGATGCCAGTTTTAATATCAAAATGAACTGTTCTATTTATTCCTTATTTATTGAACAATAAATTAAAATGATCAAAACTTGAATATTATAAAAACCGCCGTACAAACTCAAATGATATTCTTTAAGTTTGATAATAGATCGATAAACTCAAATATTAAAGCTATAACAACACAAGATTAGTGAACGCAAACTTTTTATGTTGTACGTTTGCAAGGAGGAGGAAGCACACGCGGATGTGATTGTCCTCTTAATATTAATTACAATTTAAGAGTACCAACTACCAATACCAGTATCCATGTACTGAACACCAAAAGATTCATAAACTATAATAATTATACGCTTCTAATCGTTTATTATGTAAACACACACGGCAAGTGTATTATTTTCAATCTTATAATAATTATTGATAATATACTACAATTAAACTCATTAAAATAAATTATATTTAAGTTCTTAATCACTATATTATTATTGAAAACGATTTTAGTATCTAAATAATGCCATTGAACTGTTGTTTTAACAATAATATCAATACCTAATAATCAATAAATTCTAAAGAAATTATATTTATATTTGTATGCATGTTGTACAAATATCTATTTAAATTAAATAACTAGTTTTTATTTGTTTATAACCCGAGTAAAATAAATTGGTAAATTATAAATATTTTAAATATTATACGAAAAAAAAATGAAAAAATGAATTTTATGTTTTCAGGATTTGAACATTTGAAACAAGAGACTATAGAGAGTAATATATTATGATTATTCATCTTTTTCGTAACCAAACACGACGGTAATTATATTGATTCGTTCTTAGAATATTAAATTGTGGTAAAAAAGTGTTGAAACTACTATTCATTTATTTGTAATAACTGAACACCAACGCTGTATTCAATTATCTAAGGTTATATTTTAAAATAATATGTGTACTGTGTAGCCCGCTAAACACTATTAAAACGATTGCTTGGTTGATACGAGGGGAACAGAAAAGACGGGCACATAATAAGTATATTTGGACAATGGGCATACACGATTAAATACAATAATATAAATTATTATTATATAGTCTATTCCGTACAATCGAATACGGTACCTATAATTTTTTTGTTTTCAGTTGAGTTCTTAAGTTTAATTCTTTTGATTTGAATACGTGTCGCACGTCCGTGTATATTATTTAAATCGTAGGTACCTATCCTCATGTATACATTATACAATGTATACCTACTATAACTGGTAAAATGTTCGTTTGAACTATTCAATTGACATTCGACGTTATTACAAGTATAATATACATTAAACATACTATCATTCCGAATCTCAAAAACCAGAAGAATCTATTATAATCTATTGTTTTGTTTTATTCTTGTTCTTTTATCACTTACTATTCAACAAATTTTTCCAACTTCCACTCAACGCTCTCAGATATTTGGTAAACCCCTTTGGTTCCGCAGACTCATGGGACAAAATTGAACCACTTTTCGAAGACCCAGCTAAATTTCCATCAGATCGACTTCTGAACATTGACGTAAATGGTCTCCTGACCTTACTGGAATCTACATATTCGGTTTCGACTAAAACAATATCGTTGTCTTCGAATAAACTGTCGAAACTCTCATAAGTGGTATCCATCATGGTCTCTTTTTTGCTATTGCGGCGGACGGATGGAAATTTTCGCATAAACCCAAAAGTTGATTTTCTGTCTTCAGAATTTGAACGATCTAATATTCGTTTGCCAGGTGGTAAGGGTGGATGTGCCCATAAACTGTTTCGTATATCAGACATGATGATCAAATGTTCAATCAAAATATATCCTTTTTGACTCGTTTGAACTATATGTATAAATAATATATGGACGAAATAAAAAGAGAACTACATAAAATATACATTTTTATCAATACAAGTAATTTTTTTAATTTAAGACCAATATTAAAGAAGTAAATAATAGTTGAAAAGCATGCACTCAGTATAGCGGCACAAGGGCGATCCCGTGACCTATTATAGAAGACAAAACATAATAATATAGGGACTCTTGAATATAATGATTTCATTATTTATCAATAACTGGCGATTATTAATTATGAATATATTATCAAAGAACTTACTACATAGATAAAGTTGTATAGGTATTAGGTGATATTATGTACTTTGATTAGTAAAATTAATATTATATATACAGGGTGTAACAGCAGAAAGACCTGACCAAAAAAAATACGCCAATTCAACGTATGACAAAAATTGATAATATTATATGATAAGTAAATAATTTAAGAAATATACTCATGTCAAAAAATTCTCAAAACTCATAATTAAAAAAAATTTATTAGATACGTTCCAAATCAATTTAACCCGAAAAATATTGAATTTAAAAAAAATTCTAAAAAATAAACTGCTTGGCTTAGATGAATCTTTTAACCATAAAAATTGTTCTTATTATCAGATTCACAAGTAGGCTATTTTGAATTTATCCAAAAAATGTATTATATATTATKTAGTGCTAAGGTCACTTAATGAACAAAAAAAAAAAAAATAATAAAAATATTAATTTGAACAAAAGTTATTCCATAAGTCAGTTCTATCTGTTACACCTT